TTTCGGTTTCTTCATCCACACAGCATTTTCGCAGGAAATGCAAATTTTTCTAGTTGAATTACAAATATGCATACCCCCTTTTTCCACATCCAGACTTTTACAGCAGTTAATGTGTCCAGAAGTTCATTTTAGTTCCAAACTAAAGACACTGGAACAGCTTCTATACACGAAGCCTGGCAGAAAGAACTGTGTTTTATTTGGGGGGCAAAAGTACAAGAGGAGACAATCTGTGAACATACACGATCAGAAAGGAAGTATATTATGAGGCTCAGAGAAAAAGACACTAGTAGCTCTAGTTTTACATATTGCACCCAGATCTGTTATGCAAATTTCACCACATTACGAGAAAAAAAAATCAGTCAAGATAATACCCATGCATTAGCTCCTGCCTCTGATTTGTATGCAGAGAGTCTGCAGTCAAAGTCTCAATGAGATGAGTTATAAACCTACATGGAATTACTGCGACGCTGAGTTTCGACTGCCTGCACTCTTTAAACTGCACACAGAAGCCGCAGCGACACAAAGGGAGATTTGCAGCAGATATAAAACTCTAATGTAATTGACTGTGCGCCACAATCAGATAAGCAACACTAAATGTCAAATGACTCCAGCTGAGTGGAGCTTGGCGATAAAATATATAGCGCCCATTACGGCGTGTCAGTCATTCACCGAGCCCGCCTCTTTAACCTGAATGAAGAATAGTTCCTTGAAATCAAACATGGAAAAAGCCAGGACAGGCTGACAGATCCTCTCTCTTGCATTTTATGCCGAGTTTCCCTCTTATCACAGAATATTAATGTGCCACTGTGGGTAGTTAGCAGCCAGGTTTTCAGCAGCTGATAAATCTCAACCCGCAATTTAAAGCGCAAACTGTATTTATTTTCACTGCGATCATCATTTGCAACGCTGTATACAATTTAAATTTCATATGGGCGGCTGAAGGCTCAGCTCGCCCTGAGGAATAAGACCCCCTCGCGTCCCATTACTCAAAGTGACTGCCTCGCTCCACGGAGACGGAGAGAGACAAATGTACACGGTGCAGTAATGAACTGTTTGCCATTTGGGTAAGCGATCGGGTCACGAGGCTCGCATACATACGTACTCACGAGGATACAGTACTGCAGCATTTCATCGCAGATATTCATATAAGAAGGAAACGTCTCGAGTCAACATGATTGAAGTGATGATGACAGGCCTCTGGCTGTTCTTGCTTTTATGTTGTCTGTGGTGTGACTAAATGATATGCTACGATAATGACGGTTGTCAGCTAAAGTTAGGAAAATCAAGCAAACTCACTTCCAAAAAATATGCTTTTTTTACAGTCTTGCCTCAAAAAAACTTTGTTTTCCCCGTGTGCCTGACAGCCCACAGCTCCTTATTTGTCTCCTCAATGCACAGTAACCCACTGCGACCTGACTTCTCTTTGTCTTGCAAAGATCTAACTGTTATTTTTTCATACCAGTTTTAAGCTGTTTCGACTTTGAGTTACTGAGCACCCGTGATCTGAATGATGCAAACACCTCGAGGATACTCGGGCAAAGTTTACTGCTAATAAATTGCATACTTTTAAGTGGCTTTGCAATTCTTGAAAAACAACTGCAAGACAATCTTTGAAGCAAATGACAGATGTGACGTCAATTCAGCCTTGTATTCTGTTATGACAGTAAAAATAAACACTTTAGTACTGAGAAAAGCTGACACACCACACCCATTGTAGCAGCATTACACAGGCGTGTCCTCTTTTATAGAGCTGATAAAAAAACCTTGTATTTCCATTTTACACGTCTCTGACTGGCTCAGCACCAATCAGTGTTGGTCAAGTTACTTGAAAAAAGTAATCAGTAACTAATTACTGATTACTTCCCCAAAAAAGTAATCCTGTTACTTTACTGATTACTTATTTTCAAAATTAATTAATTACTTAGTTACTTTTTAAAAACACGATTTACAACCTGAATAGGTGATAAAGTGATAGATCTTTCAGCCCAATTCTACTTTTTCTGCATAATCCATCATACAAAATGTAATCAAATGGAAAAGTCTCTTTTTAAAACTTGTTTTATTAGTTTTAATCTTTTAACTTTATGCATCAAGTAAAAATTTATTTATATGCAACATTCTCTGACTGGAAGAAATTTGTTTAATATTTAAACCTATTTTCTGCACATTCCAGCACATAAAATAAAATATTTTTTGTGTTTACACTCAGTCTTTCAAATAGATGCAAGTAAAACACAGCAGAAAATAAATAAAGTCAAAGACTAGCGGTCCTGTTGCTCTATTTTCACCTGTAAAGCAGGAGTGGGGTAGGCGGAGGGTTACCCTGGTGCAGGTGTGCAGCGGTCAGTGGAAGAATCCGCGAGTTTCTCTGTGAGTTTCCCATTACGTCGTAGCTACTCGGTGCTTGTTCGGAAGTTTAGGGGTTTTTTTCGCTGTAAAAAGAAGTTTTCTTCCCACACACAACGGACACTAATGTTTTTGTCACTTTTTATGGAATCAAACTCAAAGTAAGGTCAGTACTTCCACGCTTTAAACGCTGCACGCTCATACTCTCTCTGCACTCGATATATGATCCATTGTTGATCTGCACACAGCTGTTGTCACCAACGTCGCACTCGCTTACGTCACTGTCATGAGACATTCTCGCAAAAAAAATCACGGTTTTAGTAACGCAGCGTTCCTACGGGAAAGTAACGGTAATCTAATTACCGTTTTTGCAATAGTAATCCCTTACTTTACTCGTTACTTGAAAAAAGTAATCGGATTACAGTAACGCGTTACAAGTAATGCCTTACTGCCCATCTCTGGCACCAATAAGACAAAGTAATAGCAATGGGACGGACGGCCTTTATTTGTCATTTCCTGCAAAAACAAAGAAACACATGCTGCAGAAAAATCTTAACGCTTCTCTTTTTAATTTTGCAACCTCGTTTACTTTAAAGAAATATATGACTCTTATTCTATTTTAATATCTGTAAAAAGCTTAAAGCATTTTTATGTAAAGCACTTTGGCAACACACCGAGCTACAGAAGCTACGCTGGATGAGCAGCGCAGCAGCAGAGCATATCTGACCCTGGTGATGTTTGCCAATTTAGCCGACCATGATGGCAAACCATGAAAGACATCTATAGGGCCTGCACTGTGCCAGACCTGGAACTATGTTCCAGTGGATTTTATTTTTCCTGCAAAGACAATTGGATCAGCAGGGTTTTTGGACTTTCAATCAAAAGTAGAAAAACTGTCAGCTTTGAGGCATCATCTCCTGCAGCCCTTTTGGCCCTGTTTCCTTTCTGGTCTAGCCATGCCTGACAAGCCATTAGAAGGTCTGTCCGCCTGCCGCAATGGATGGGCAATATTCCAGACAACACCGGGAGTCTGATAGGCTTAAATCATGAGAGGACAGCTTGGACATGAAGCCAGAGTCCCGCAACCATCATTTTTATGATGCTGCACACTAAAAAGGAGAGGCTTCTCATTTTCTTCGTTGCTTTTTATCGTTTCATCTGTCTGTCTTGTGTTTTACACACGGCCTTGCTGACCACAGTCCCTCCTTACCGCACAGCATTTCCAAAAGAAAGATCCCCTTTCATTGGCTCCTCTGGAACACTTTTGTCACATCTGTGCACATGTCTCATTGAATTTGTGATGATGGGTAGGGATTCAGGGATGTCACAGGAAGTAGACAGCAAAGAGTAAATACTTCTGACAGGAGCTGTTGGGGGAAAAGGGCTTCTTAATGGCTGGATGCTTCAAAGGCGACGAGGAAATATAAAATGACCGTCGCTTTTTGTTATCTCAGCTGTTTCTCCTGAAAAATATTTTCATTTCCATCTCTTTTTATCGCTGCACGCCATCTGAATACCACACACACACACACACACACAGAAAAATGGAGAAAACCTCCAGTGTCCATCGAATAAAAACAGCCCACTTGTGAGAGGATTAGTAATTTGCAATTTAAACCTAAGAGGAGCACTGAGTGATCCTTCTGAATCGCTGCACAAAGAGACGATATGGAAGGGGGCAGCCCAGTTCAGATTAAACATGGACTTCACTTTTAAAGGGCTTACCTTGTTTTGCAAATATGAATGGCCAAAAAACTCCAACAGAACAAACAGCTTACCTTGTAAAGGAGCACAACGATCTGTCGCAGTTTGAGCCTGTGGAAAACGCAGACGTCATACAGCGCCGATACAGCCAGAACGGTTACTCCGAGCTCCTTCCAGAGCATGCTGCAGGCGGCGCAACCCAAGCTACCGAGGAACCACGCCACGAGCCGCCAGGACCCGGCACGCCCCCGCAGCCTACAGTGACGTATGTAACACAGCAGGGACAGCAAGAAGAAAAGGGCGGCGCCTTCATCGGCTCGGCCGACTACACCCGCCACTGCCTCGGTGTGAATTGGGTGAGAGGCGAAGAGCAAGCCAGCCAGTAGGCTCCACAGTCCTCCTCCGAGCAGCAGGCGAGCGAGTGAGGTAAACAGGCCTGTCACGGCCCCGTGGAGGACCACGTTAACCAGGTGGTAACCCCAAGGCTCCAGCCCACCCACAGCGTGATTAAGGCGGAAGGAGAGGGTGCACAGGGGTCGGTAAGACTTATGGCTGCCGCTGTGTGTGAGTAAGGTGCCCCAGAAATCATCGTAGAAGATGTTTGTCCAGGGCGTCTCTGGAAGCAGGTCCTGATTGGTCTTAATTGCACGGCTGTAAAGAGAGAGAGAGAGAAAATGGTCAGACAAGAACTTCTGATTGCAACTAAATCAATCAGTATTTGATCTGAATGTTGCGTTGACTACTACAAAGACTACTGGTCTCTGACATTCAACAAACGTGTGACAACTGAAGACATTATTTGCTGCTCTGGGTTTTTACAGGTGATGCCTGAACGTGTGGTCATGTGGCATCCACACACCGAAAATCAAACGGCGAACTTTAAGTACTGGGCATCTTTGCCACCACCACTTTGGGATTTAACCCTTTAAGACCTACCATAGAACCAAGTCCGCCAGAGCTTATATTATAT